AGGCTGCGACCCCCATAGCTTCCCGGGGGGGCTCCTCTGAAAGCCCGGAGGTGCGGGCAGCTGCCGACGGGAGTGCCCTCTGTGCTTGCCCTGCCTCTGCCTGGCTTCAGCGTTTTCTGCGCTGCTCTCTCCCTGGCACTCAGCAGCCTCCCTCTTTCGAGCATCCCCTTGCACCGGTGCGAGTTTCTAGCGTCTGACACGTCCGAGGCAAGGAGGCCACCAGCCAAACCCCGCCGTGTCTCATCTCTTCTCCCTCTGTGTCTTTCAATAGCCACGGTTCCTGCCTATCTGCCCTGGTAACATCTCTGGCTGGTGGGACTGCACCCAGCCTGCCAGCCCCTCAGGCTGCACACCCACAGCTCAGCCCCGGGAGCAAGCTGTGGCTTCACCCACTGCCCTGCACCTTGAGTGGACATCACTGTGGGTGAACCTCCGGGCTGCCCTGCCACCGTGGTCCTGCCATGAGCTCTGGCTCCTGAGCTCTCCAGCTTTTCTAGAGAGCATTCCAGCCCCAGGGTGCCCAGGCACCCTGCCTGCTGCCCTGCAGGGCTGTGCTCCCTGCCCTTCCTGAGCCAGACCTCGCCATGAAGAAGGCAGTCTGCTGGGTGGTGACCAGCACTGCTGCATCCCCAGCACTGGTGGGCTCTGCCCAGCCTGCTGTCAGCGTTGAGTCCTACAAAGCCAGTCCTGGCTGCTGCACGTTGGTGGGATAAAGTGCGGTGATCAGCATAACCCCCTGCCCCCAGATCTGATTCGCAAGGTCCTTGGCTGGGGAGGAGTCCTTTCTCATCTCTGCTTTCTTGTGGCCATCCAGAGGTACTTGCAGCTGTGTCAGTGTTTGCTGTGCACTTCTGCTGAGGATCCTGGAGCTTCCTCAGGAGTTACTGTTGGCTCCTTGTGTTATAAAACCTTTATGAACCTGCTGGGAGGGATAAGAGGGGGTGTCGCTTTGCTGCTCCTTGCATCTCTGCTTTGGGAAAGGTGGGGAGATGGACTTCTGGCTCTCACCATGGGTATCAAGGGCTTATTTTTCTGTCATCCCTCACTGTCACTGCTGCCTCTGAAATGAAGCACTGAAAGCACCTTAGATGCAGAGCCAGGACTTGCTGTGACCTGCGCAACTTCCTCGGACGGCAGTCGGTGCTGTGCTCATGGGAGCAAAATGACTGGCTCCACCAGCTTCCTGCCAGCTGACTCACAGTGGGGCACCCATGGCTCTGGAAATCCGGTTTGGTTTGGATGCTCCTCTGCCTCGGTTGTGCCTGATGACGCATCCAAGTCCTTGGCAACAGCAGGGCTGAGGCAGTGGATATTTTGGTTCTTGTTGAAAGGGCTGCAGCCTCTGGGATGCCTTACCTAGAGGGAGTGAGGCTGCAGAGCCCACCTCAGCCTCACTTGCACTGAGGGACCCGAGGTTGCCCTTGAAGCCCTGAGTTACAGGACCCTCCCACCTCAGCCTTTTGGTTCAGTTAAGAAGTGCAGCTAACACTTCCTCCTCCTCCAGAGCTAATTTAGGGAAGCTGAGCCTCAGAGCATGGCAACTGTTCACTGCTACAAATCCCACCCCTTGCTGGGCACCCATCCTCAGTGCTGTGACCTCCTCAGCTCCCGGTGCCCGGGTGATGGTCTGTCATCTCAGCTCCCAGCCCTGTTGTTGGATTAGCAACAGGGGCCGTGGCAGCTGCTGCAGGGCTCCAGCCCTTAAGCCAAATGGGTGTTCAGGCAATAGAGAAGATGCTCACTGGGTGCTTCCCAGGACTGTGGGTGGGGGCAGTCCAGGGAATGTGCTGGCCTGGTGTCCCTGGCTCCAGCAGGTGGTTCTCCATCTCCCTGGGCCCCTCCCAGTGATGGGAGGCAGAGCACCAGATTTGGCAGAGGGCAGCAGACTGGGGTGAACACAAGACACCCAGGCTATAGCGCAGTGTGGCTTGCACAAGCTGATGAGCGCTTGGGCTGCCCTGCCCGGGCTGTGCACCTCACCACCTGCAGCACTTGCAGTTGCGGTCCCGGCTGGATCTAACCCTGCCTCCCCCTCCCCAGCGCGAGTGCATCTCTGTCCACGTCGGCCAGGCCGGCGTCCAGATGGGCAACACCTGCTGGGAGCTGTACTGTCTGGAGCACGGCATCCAGCCCGACGGGCAGATGCCCAGCGACAAAACCATCGGCGGAGGGGACGACTCCTTCACCACCTTCTTCTGCGAGACCGGGGCTGGGAAGCACGTCCCACGGGCCATCTTTGTGGACCTTGAGCCCACCGTGATCGGTGAGTGTACATCAGCTGGGCAGCGACGGTGGTCACGATCTCTGGGAACAATCCACTGCAGGACAGTCCCTAGGGTGGCTCCTGCCATCTTTCCCAAAGAGCCAGTTAAAAAATCTCTGTCATTGTACTAACCTCTCCTAGATGAGGTTCGGGGAGGAGTCTACCGCCAGCTCTTCCACCCTGAACAGATGATCACCGGCAAGGAAGATGCTGCCAACAACTACGCCCGAGGGCACTACACCATCGGCAAAGAGATCATCGACCAAGTGCTGGACAGGATCCGAAAGCGGGTAGGTAACCACAGAGGGGGGGGATGTGGCCTCCTTAGTTTGGGGTCCAGCATTCTGCTGGGGGTGGGAGCATGGGGCGAGCCCCACTGTGCTCTGGGAGGGATCCGTGGCTGCCCAAGCAAAAGTTTGAAACCTCCCTGCAGCAAAGTCAATAGTTGGAAGAATCTTACTTGGCTCTCTCCACAGGCTGACCAGTGCACAGGCC